ACAGTGTTTCTGTTTTAGAAAGAGATGCATTCCATACTGTTGTACTCTCACATTTCCTCACATGACAGAGCAGCTTACACTGAATTTATGTGAGGCTACTGTGTAACAAGAGGCAGCAGAGCAGAAATGAAAATACACATGCTGGAGCCACTGTCTTGGACAGGTGTCTTAATTTCTCTGTGCTTCAAATTCTTCATATGCAACAAGGAGATAAACAGGTCCTACCCGACAAAACTTTTGAGAGGCTTACGTAGTTAATGTCTGAAAAACAATCAAGTATCTCTGATGCAGAGTGTTAACACCAGCTGCTGTTGCTGCTTGAGGCAAGTTATCAATGAAAATGAGAAAGCCAGATTTGCAAAGCCACAGCCTAAAAGAGAAACCCTTAGACAGGTGCCTCCAACCCTTTACTGAAGAAGAGTTACTTTTCACTTGGCTGAAGTCCTGAATCATTTTGGGGAAAGTGGGGGGAGTATGGTAACAAGTTCTGTTACTGGAACTGAGGGGAGGCCATCACTGAAAACCACACTTCCCTGCCGGCTGAGAAGCAAGACAGAAGAGTGACAACAGCAATTAGCACACGGTCTTCTAGGAAGAACGTGAGGTCTACATGTTGGCACTTTCCTCTGGACAGCTGGAGAAGAGGACACCAGGAGGCTGCACCCCGAGGCTAGCATTGTGGACAGTGGTTTAGTCTCCGCCTGTGACACCAGCATACCACATTCACACAGTGCAAGCTCAGGCTCATCTGCTTCAATACGGCTCCCTGCTAACGATGCCTACCAAAGCAGTGGGAGATGCTCCAAACGTTTCGGTCTCTCCTACCCACGTGAGACAATCTATGCTCCTGGCTTCAGCCTGACCCAACCACAGCTGCAGCCACTGTGTCTATTTCTGGAGAGATCTCTCAGTCTCCAACTTTCTGTCTCTCCCTCCTTCCCTGCCTCCCTCCATCTGCCTTTCAAATAAATAAAATAAATCTTTAAAAGCAAGTCTACACTCAGTCCATGGAATGCTAGCAGAACCCACTCTACCGACATGATGTCTCCATAAGGAAACATCACCAACTCTCCCACAGTGATTTTTAAGTCATTAACAGCCTCCATATAAAATAAACCATTATCCAGAGTATTCAAAACTATGTTGTTTTTAATAAAAAAAATCTATGTAATGTGTTTTAAATAAAACCAAATAGCAATAGTTCAAGGATTATAATCTAAGCAGAACTAGTTTATTTCAACCACGAAGATCATTTTAAACCACTAACTAAAACATAGTAACTTATCTCTGAAGATATTTATGATCCAACTTATTTAAAATGAATCAAAGAAATTAAAACTTCTATTTTTAAAAATGTATGGAGAAATACGCCAAACATCTCAACAAAATATTATTAATCTTAGATTAAATGGTCTTCAAAAAATAAACTAATATTCTGAGAAATGTTTGACAATGAGCTTTTCAAATGGTTTCCTAACATCTACTCTTTGACAACTGGATACTGAATCCATTTTGACAGCCTTGCCATACCCCTTTACCTCTGTCCACCCTACCAATACCGACAAAAGGAATGGGCAGGCCATACCAACACGGACTACGGGGATTCAAAGAGAAGCTTTTTAAAAGGGAGATTTTATAAGGAAACTGTCTGAATCCAAAAAAAGCAACCAAAAACCAGTGTCTGACACCCTCACGGTTATAAGCACAACAGCAGAGCTCCAACTTCTCTTGACAGTCATATTACAACCACAAAGGACTCCGCCTCCTATTGACACCATTTCTGTGGGTAGCAGAGCTCAAAGTGCAAAAAGAACCGAGATCTTTGATGACCAACCCCCAGGCTTCCTCTTACACAAATCAAGTTTCCTTTTGTTTAAATCAATTTTATATTTTACCCCAAAAGCTCCTAATTTACACCTTTTGTTTTCACTCCATCACTACAAAAGAAAATCATCCATGTTCATTTAAATGTTGCAAAAACATGTTCTACTTGTAACAAGTGTTTGTATATATCAGTCTTATTAAAAGAAGTCATAAGCAGTTAATAGGAATATTTCAAATCCTTCAAATAATTTCTACAAAGATTTCCCCATCATAGTTAGAAATAACGCAGAGTTGTCAAAACATTATAGAAATATTAAACATCCAAACTGACATAAATTTTTTTACTGCATTCTTAGTGCATTACATTTTATGACACAAAAATCATAATTGGTCATACTCATACTATTTAAATCACAATCAAAGATTTAGGGTCAAAGAGCACAGCGCAGCAGGCAAAGCTGTCACCTGTCACTGAGATTGCATGTGGGTGCCACTAACGGCGTGGGAAAAGCAGCAAAAGATGGTTCTTATATGGGTTAGTTTATTTAACTCTTTTTAAAGCTTTATTTATTTTGGGCCCTACATGAAAGCCTAGTGGCTGGGTTCTCACCTTGCATATATGCGCACTGGTTTGCATCATGGCTGCTCCACTTTCCATCCAGCACTCTGTTTCTAGACTGGGAAAACAGTCTAGGATGGCCTAAAGGCTTGGGACCCTGTACCCACGTGAGAGACCTGGAAGAAGCTCCTGGCTTTTGGCTCCTGGCTCCAAATCCGCTCAGCTCTGGCCATTGCAGCCACTTGGGGGTGAACCACTGAATAGAAGATCTTTCTCTCTCTCTCTTACTTTCTAGGTAAATCATTTATTGGAAAAGCAGATTCACAAAGAAAAGGAGAGATCTTCCATCTGCTGTTTCACTCCCCAAAGGGCCACAATGGCCAGAAGTGGGCTGATCTGAAGCCAGGAATCAGGAGCTTCTTCCAGCTCTCCCACATAGGTGCCCAGGGACTTGGGATGTCCTCTACTGCCTTCCTAGGCCACAAGAAGGGAGTCAGATGGGAAGTGGAGCTGCCAGGATACAAACCAGTGCCTAGATGGGAAGCTGGCACTTGCAAACAGAGTTGGAGGAACAGACAGAAGATCTCAGTCTCCTTTCTCCATAACTCTGCTTTTCAAATAAATTAATATATTATAAAGATTAAGTCAAACCATAAGTACATTAGAGAACACATTTAATCAGAGCTGAAAAGTTATGTTTCCATTTGAGTCCTCCATAACGTGTTCACTCTGCAGTGGGGATTGGTGGGACCTGGCAAGAATACAAATGGACAAATTTTTCTACATATAAGACAACAAAAGTAAGTTGTTTCATCAGAAGGGGCTCCTCACAACTTAGGAGTATTTTTCCTCACCAGGGACAAAAATCATCACAGTTGTAGTTCCATGAGGCCACGAAGTAGAGCAGGCGGGGTTGGCAGGGCCAGGATGTGTGACATCCTACCTAAAATTAACCACGCACATTTCACCACAACTGGGCTGGGCTCCTCTATTTCAGAGGTATGCAGCTCCAAATGGTTTAGCAGTATGTAATTGCTGGCTACTTCCTGGAACGCAAAGTCAGCAGACCTTCCACCAAGGCTTTAAGCTGGTCACCTAGTCTTGACAAAAGCCCACACTGAATCATCATTGCTGCCTAGGGTCTAAGTATACTGCAAGGAAAGGCACACACACGAGACAGAAACAAACATGCAGAGACAGTCCTTATTCTTTCCTACCACCCGACCCTTCCCAGTCTCCCTCTCTCATACACACTCATACACACTCATACACACACACACACACACACACACGCACACTATGATAAAAGTGGGGGAAAGAGGGGACAGGCTAATCCTCTACCAGGTGGTGCCAGCATCCCATATAGGCATCAATTTGTGTCCCAACTGCTTCACGTCTGGTCCAGCTCTCTGCTAATGGCCTGGGAAAGAAGAGCAGGAAAGCCCAATGTCTTTAACCCCTGCCACCTGGGAGACCCGGAAGGGACTCCTAGATCCTTGCTTAGGATCAACTCTGTTCTGTGCGTTGTGGTGATTTGGAAAGTAAATCAGGAAACTAAAGATCATTTTCCCTCTCCTTCTCCTTGTAAATCTGCCTTGTAAATAAAAACAAATCTTTGTAAAAAAGTTTTTTCAAAAAGGTTTAAAAAAAAAAAAGTATGGAAAAGAACAAAAATCATACTGAAGTATTCTCATCTTTCCAGGAAACTGTACAGATCTGACAGCTAAGATTTTTCCAAGTAATGTCATTCTTAAAAATTGAACCCTTTGGGCCTGGCAACTCAGCGTAGCAGCTAACGTCCTCACCTTGCATGCACCAGGATCCTATATGGGTGCCAGTTCTAATCCCAGAGGCCCAACTTCCCTTCCAGCTCCCTGCTTGTGGCCTGGAAAAGCAGTAGATGACGGCCCAAAGCCTTGGGACCCTGTACCTGCATGGAAGACCCAGAAGAAGCTCCTGGCTCCTGGCTTCAGAGTGACTCAGTTCTGGCTATTGTGGCCATTTGGGGAGTGAACCAGCAGATGGAAGATCTTTCTTTCTGTCTCTCCTCCTCTCTGTGTCTTTGACTTTCCAAAAAAATAAATTAAAAATTATATATATATATGTATGCATATATATATATATAATCTTTTTAAATTAACCTTCCCCTGAAAGTGCTATGCTACTAAAGGAAATGCAATTAAGGGGCACCTTATACTCCAGACTCTGGGTATATTAGAAGGGTATTGGTGTGACTTTCATTGGTGGTGGAACCGACAATTTTAAGGAGGAGAGGTAGAAGGACAGTGAAGCAGAACTAAATTTTCAAACACAAATGAAATAAAATGGAAAAACATGCCCTTTTGCCAAAACCAATGAACACTTAATTGATGAGCAAAAAACCGGGTTGTGAGATACACAAGCCTAGCAAACATGAAATTCAAGCCACACAGATAACATTCAATGGCTTCCACAAACCCTGCATCTATTTCACTACTAGCAGTCCAAGACACTTGATACAGACTTCACATTTAATACTATCAATTCCTTTGCTCCTATCACATTCCAGCAGCATACAATACGAACACTTGTTTTGCACTCAATCAAGTATTTTAAGAATTTAAAAAAAAATACATACCTTCAACTTCAGAGTCATGGCATTTCACTTTCAATACCAAGTCAAAGGTTCTTTCTGGATTTTCCCTAAAAGGGGGGGGAAAAATGGTTGCATTTATCTCCTGTGACAAATAAGCTTACTTATAAGGATTATGTTTTCTTAATTCTAAAAACTATTCTCATTCTTCTTGTCTCAAAATATCCTGTGTACCTAAATCTCAGTGATAGGCAGAAATAACAAGGCAAGAGTTTTCTCAGTCGAGCAACCTAAGACAGCTGGAAACTTGGGCGTTCTGGGACTTGAGGCCCAATGTTGAGAGCTGCCACTATTTTCTCGCCTGTCAAGTGCCATACCCATTTCACAGATGATAAATCCAAAAAGCCTATGTGCAGAGCACACACTTAGCCTAGCAGTTATTCCTGAAGTCTGGAAGGCAGTCCTGCTCTATTAGTTCTTTTCCCGGTGACGTGCACCTTGGGAGGCGTCAGGCAATGGTCATCGGCTCACGTGGGAGACCAGGGCTGGGTTCAGTTCCTGGCTTCTTGTCAGTGTCTGGAAAGTGAACCACTGGATGAGTGCCCTCTCCCCAGCTCTCCACCCACCCAGCCCCCGCCCCACTCTGCTTCTCAAACAGAGTTTAAGAATGTATGAGTATGCTACTTTGTAGACTAGGAAGCACTCTATCAGTGCAAAGCACTCTTTTCATCTAACTGAATCAACACCGGGAAGTCAGGGTGCCCCCCAGTGTCTTGATTGCCTGCCAGCAGAGCTCAACACAGGCTTTCAGCTAAATGCTGACTACCTCGTCCCACCTGCCATGATCAAGGTCACCCAAGACATTTATACTGCTCCGTGTGTTTACTGTTTTCAAGAAAGTTTAAAGAAGCAAATTGCTCAAAAGACTCTGAGATACACTCAAAAACAAACAAACAAACAAACAAGGACTTGTTTTACGACTGCTGTCTCTGGGGCAGCTCAAGCACCGATTCCACACCGACATTTCCAGGAGAAAGAGGAAGGTGGCCGGAGCTTCATCTAGAACTTCTCCCACACCTATCCTGGTCACGGATGACATTTCACAGAGTGAACTGAAATCCACTGAGACACTTTCTTTCTCGAAGCACAGGCCTGGTTGCGCCCCCTCTTTCCAGGGCAAAGTCTGATACCACGAAGTGCCAATGTTCTCAACCCAATTACTCCTGCAGCACCTTCTCGCCCTGGGTCAGCGTCTGTTTTTTTTTAATATGCACCCCCTTCAAAGAAGCCAATACCAACTCTGATACACACTGATTTAAGAAAATAGTACAAGGCATGAATCTAAAGACAGGACGTGACCGGCCTCCTGGTGTAATTTATAAAGCATTTTTCCTCAACCTTCCTACTATTTACTTGTGTGAATGGGAATAATCTAGATCATCTGACAACAATACAGTTGTGTCAAGAAAGTGCACTTTTTTCACTGCACTGCTGTCAACCACTGAACAAAACAAGTCTACATTACAGCATTTCTTCGATTTCCCTAATATTTTTCAGAGCCCCCTTTACGATGTCAAAGATGAAATACCAATCCAGTTATACTTGGTGATATTCAAAAGGTCTTTCCACGGAAGCCAAATCACACGACATTCATTACAACCAGCGTGGTGAACAGGGCAAAGAGGGGGTAACTTTCAGAGGGAAAAAAATAGAAGCCCCCACCCCCCTCTTCACCGGTTTCCCCAAGATCCTTGTAAACCAAATGGGCCACCATTATTCAAACTGCTTTCTACCGGGTCTCCTGAGTAAGAGTCTGGGACGCATCCTTTAACTCACACATAAACTGGGTCCCATCAGATGGGACTCTGCATCGCCCCCACGGGGGAGAGCAATTGAATTCTCCAAGGAGAAAGAACAGAGGGGAACATCCCACTTAAAACTGAGGACGACGCCTAGGGAAGCAACGGTGACCCTGACTCCAGCGAGGCGCTCCAGAGGAGGACTTCGCCACGACCCCCACGGCGCGTACACACACACACACCCCACACACACATACACACACCACACACATCACACATCACACCACACACACACCACACACACCCCCCACACACACATTACACACACACCACACACACTCACGCCACACACACACAACACACCCCACACACACACAACACACACCACACACACCACTCACACCACACACACACTCACCCCACACACACACACACACTCACACCACACACACTCACCCCACACACACACACACCCCACACATCACACACACACACTCACCCCACACATCACACACACCACACACACACACCACTCACATCACAAACACACACTCACACCACACACACTCACCCCACACACACACCACACACACTCACCCCACACACACACACCCCCCACACATCACACACACACACTCACACCACACACACCCCCCACACACACCGCGCCGGGAGGAACCGGGCCCCGCGGCGGCCGCTGCGGCAGCCGGCCTCCCCCGCCCCGCTGGCGGCCGTCGCCCCGGAGCCGCCGGCAGGAGCCGCGCCGACCCACCGGGCCGGGGGCCGCGGGGACGCCCAGGCTTTGCGGCCTAGCGCTGCCCCGGCGGCCGGCAGGGGGCTCGGGCCCGCCCGCCCGGCGCTCGCCCGTCCGCCCTCCCGCCCCGGGGCCCGGCCGGGGCGCCCGCCGCACTCACTTGATCCTGCAGTCCATGGTTACATGTCGCGGTGGGGCCGGTGGCCGCCGCCCAGCGCCGCCCGAGGGTCGTGCCGCCCGCCCGCGCCCGGGAGGCCGCTCACAGCGGCGGCCGCGCCGGGTCCATGTCGTCGGCGCCCCCGGAGCTTCCCCGCCTCCCTCCCCACCCCCGGAGCCTCTCTGTGACAGCAGCAGCAGCGGCGGCCTGGCCACCGCCCCCGCCGCCGCCGCCGAAGCCGGGCCTCCTGGTGCCTGCGCCCCGGCCGCTCCTGCACCTTCTGCAAACCAGGAAGTCGCCGGGAGGGGGAAGGGGCGCGCGGGGACGCGCCGGCCGCCTTCACCTGGGCCGCGCGGCCAGCGCCGGCGGCCTGCTGAGGGGTCGGGGGCGAGGGTCCCGGCACCCCGGGGACCACGGCGGGATCGTGGGGCCGCGCGAGGGCCTGCCTGGAAGGCCCGCGTGCCGCTCTGCCACGGGCTCAGAAACGCCAGGTGCCCGCTGTCCTCGACACCGGACCGAGCCCGGCGGCTTCCTGTCCCGCTCCCGGGATCCAGGGCCGTCAGAGCTTGGAGTCAGCACCCCTCCCGCCCCCTAAACAACCCACACCCTGAAAAAGTACCTGGACTTGCAGTGCCCCCCATCACGTGCGCAGGGAATTGGGTTCCTTTCATTCCACACTGCAAATGCGGAGTTCACGTGGATGCTCGTGGCTCCTGCCTCACTCCAGCTGCAGCCTGGGTTAGCGCTGAAATCCAGAGCTGCCCCCTCCTGCTTCAGGAATGTTCAGACATGTGCACCTGCTAAGCAGCCCTGTCAAGTAGCAGAGGAAAGTGCTCGACTTGCCTGCACATATGGGAAACAGACATTGCTGAGGCACAAGCCAGGACTAATTTTCCGACACAGTCCCACATTGCAGGCCTCAGAGGTCCCCTGGCAACCCAGGGGAGCCCAGAGAAGGCTGGGGCATGAGGGTGGGAGGGGCCAACCCACAGAACACTTGTTAAGCAGGTTATGTTCTCGCTTTAGCACTCCCACCGCCACGTGACAGACACTCGCATCAGCATTTTATAGATGATAAAACCAAAGCCAGCCTAAGCTGGTGGGTTATGGCGGGTCTGGAATTCAGACCAGGTCTATCTGATGCGAACTTCTGCTTTTCACTCAGCTGCCTTGTTTTCATGGGTCTACTAAGAAGAGATGTGGAAAGGACTGGGAAGGGACACCACGAGGATGGTCCAGCCCTAGATGTAGAGGACTAGTTGGAAGGCCTTTCCTAAAGGTGTTTCTCATCCGAATGCAGGTTGCTGTGCTGGCTTGGGCAACACATACACTAAAATAGCCACAGATGGACGTTGCTTCGGTTATCACCCATCTCAGAAGGTAAGATGGTAAGTGTTGTAGGTTGTGAGACGTGAAAGACAAGGAGTCTTGGGAAGTGAAAAAAGAACTTAGAAGCCTAAAGTTAAACTCCAGTCCAGTGATCTTATTGCTAAGGCTGCATGTTACTGGTCTGCAAAGTTAGACATATTGCATGGAAACGGAACTCTTAGTCGAAAATGAGGGCAGTACATAATTAGGGAACAATAGCAACAAAAATGTGTTTCAGCATATTTTAGCATAACTTGACCTGCAGTGAGACGATTAACTTCAGTTTCTCAGTTCCCACAATGGGACTTAGTACCCGTCACGTGAGCAGGGCGATTGATGTCTAAATTAAAACTTTTTCAACTGTGAGTGATCTTGTGAGCAGTGAGTCTATGGATTTCAGCTGCACAATTAGTCAACCTGCATCACATTATTTCTTCCCACACAAAACTTTTCTTACCTAAGAAGTTACCATATTCAAAAGCCTTGAAAACGATTGCAAGCTAAAATCCACTTCTGCTCCAAGTGTTATGGAATTTCTTAAACTTCCCCTTTCGTTAACAACTTGCTCTCCAAAGAAGGGAACCATACTGCAGTGCCTCCATCGGGAGCTCTTCCCTTGCAGTGAGGAAATGCTAGAGCAGTGTTCTCTGTGTGGTGTTGGGAATCTTTAAATGATAGTTATACTCATCAATAATTACGAAGTTATTCATTATTCATTACAAAGCCTTCTAAACTACCTAAGAGGCAGACCATAATGAAGTTGTTGTGGTGTTACTAAGGTAAAAGTAATACAAATACAGATGTGCATTATTAACATAAATAATTGGCTGAACAACTACTGGAAAAAGAATTTAGTATGCACTTAACACAGTCATGTTTAAGGAAATCAGAGGCCTCAATTTAGTAATATTCATTTTATCTGGAACTTCCGTGACTGTGATAGAGAAGTGAGAAGTGTACAAAAGACAAACCTTTACAATGGTTTTAGATCTGTTGGGGGGTTAGATATGTTCAAGATCATATTTCAGCAATAATATTTCCAACCTAACAATTGATAGAAACATTTTTCGGTATTGCAGCAGTCAAAGAGTATGACCGGAGTTGTTGCCTGCAAGCTCTCCATCTTTTAAAATGTCCTGAGACTTACTTTAAATGCTTTACAACAGGTTGACAAGGGATATCTATTCTGCAGTGTGGGTACACTGGTGACTGGGTTGCCAACAATCAGTTGCTGATTTTGCTGATATTGAACACAATTAACAGAAGAGAGAAGTTAAAATATCCTCACAGGATGATAGGTTTATCTGTTTAAACTGTATGATAATCTACATGTCAATTTATAATTATTATAGCTACCTAGTAATTGAACCATTTATTATTAATTGTTAGTGTGTGAGTTTCACTTGCCTTAGATTCTGAACAGCTTTTTTTTTTTCCTTCTGAATAGTATCTGCTTGGTATTAGTATGTCTCCCTTCACCCCTTCACATTTGAACTTCCATTATATTTTGGAATTTGCCCAGCACAATAGCCTAGTGGCTAAAGTCCTCGCCTTGAATGTGCCAGGTTCCCATATGGGAACTGGTTCTGATCCCGGCAGCCCCGCTTCCCATCCAGCTCCTTGCCTGTGACCTGGGAAAGCAGTCAAAGATGGCCCAAAGCCTTAGGACCCTGCACCCACGTGGGAAACCTGGAAGAAGCTCCTGACTCTTGGCTTTGGATCAGCTCAGCTCCAGCCATTGTGGCCACTTGGGGAGTGAACCAGCAGATGAAAGATCCTATCTTCCTTTCAATCTCTGCTTCTCTCTATAAATCGACTTTCCAATAAAAATAAATAAATCTTTTTTTAAAAAGAATTTAACAAATTGTTATTTGGGTTCTTAATCTAGTGTAATCATCTTGAGCTATAAGTTCAAGTTCTTAGATCATTTGCCTCCATTATAATTGTTGGTATATTTGAAATCATGTCTACTATGGACTTGCCACTGTGTATCTGTTAGTTTCTTAAAACATGTGAAATACACATATTAAATTCTGTTTCTGAAGATTCCAATTTTTTAAAAGGCTTATTTATTCTCATTGGAAAGGCAGATTTATAGAAGGAGAGACAGAAAGAGAAAGAGCTTCCGTCTGCTGGTTCACTCCCCAAATGGGAAAATGGCCAGCCCTGAGCGAATCCAAAGCTAGGAACCAGGAGCCCCCTTGGGATCTCCCATATTGGCACAGAGTCCCAAGCTTTGGGCAATCCTCCAATGCTTTCCTAGGCCACAAGCAGGGATCTGGATGGGAAATGGAGCAGCCGGGCCATGAAACAGTGCCCATATCAAATCCCTCTGCTTTTTGGTAGAAGATTAACTAACTGAGCCATCACACCAGGCCCTGGAAATTCCAATATTTAAGACATCTTTAGATGTGATTCCACTATCGGATTTTCTCTTTGCCAGCTTTTAGTGGTGGCCTCTTGTTTTCTTCTACTTGTAGTATTTCTTTTTATGTTAGCTACTTGTTGGAACTTTGTATGTGGTAATTTAGTGAGGTGTTAAATGAAGATGAGCTCTCTGGGAAGGAAAATCATTGACTGCTGGTCAACTCTGCGTACTGGCAGTTCAGGATCATTTTATGCTAAAATTTCACCTTCAAAACTTTCTAACCATCCATGTAAGATCCGCTTAAAGCTAGTAATCTTCAGGAAACTCTCCTTCCCTTACCTCTCCCCCTGCACTGAGGCAACCAGTTTACCCTGGATCCTTTGACAAGGTTCCCTGTTGGATTTCCTCCATGAGAAAGTGTCTTAAACCCCATACTGCCAGGAGAATGGGTTCATCCGGCTGAGCAAATACTCTTCAGATTAATGGTGCATCTACAGCTATTTTGACTTATCCGTATCTATTCCTCCCATGTATTCTGAACTTAATCATCCATTTTTGGATGCATTTTTTAAAATTTAAGGAGTCCTACACAGTAGCCTAGTGGCTAAAGTCCTCGCCTTGAATGTGCCAGGATCCTATACGGGAACTGGTTCTGATCCTGGCAGCCCTGCTTCCTATCCAGCTCCCTGCTTGTGGCATGGGAAAGCAGTCAAGCACGGCCCAAAGCCTTGGAACCCTGTACCCGTGTGGGATACCCGGAAAAAGTTCCTGGATCCTGGCTTCAGATCGGCATAGCATTGGCCGTTGCACTCACTTGGGGAGTGAATAAGTGGACAGAAGATCTTCCTCTCTGTCTCTCCTCCTCTCTGTATATCTGACTTTCCAATAAATAAATAAATAAATCTTTAAAAAAAAAAAAACCAACTCCAGTCAGAGAAAGTGGGTGACTAAGTAAGAAGCTCCAGTAAGCACTTGCCCACCGAGACAATGATGTGAAGCTGTGCACACACCATGCCACCTTCACAAGGGCTGTGGACACCTGCTGAGTGACAGCAGTTCCTCATCTTGCTGCAGCCATGATGACAAGTCATATTGAAGTAAGCAAGGCCACTGCCCCGGTTCCATACCTATACAGTAAAAAAAGGCTGGGAAAGGGAACTTACTTAGGACAATGCCTTAGACTCAGCACCAGGCCCACCGCTCTGAGACACTGTCCCTGATAAAGCTCAAAGCCCTCTACCATCCAGTCAGTGTTCATTCATAGGCTGAACCCTTAGGCTTCCCCACACCTACAGTCCAGTGGGTCAGGGTCATCCTGGCCGGTGCCATTTGCTGCCAACCTTGGGTGGATCTTTGTGGAACCCACAGATTGTAGGACCCAGCTATGACTAACCTGGGAACAATTTGTGTGACCAAGAGAT